CCCCCCGATATTTTTAAAAAAGCATTTTCAGATACTTCCCAGGAACGCAAAGCAATGGTTCGCTGACAGGGGGGATAGCTCGGGTAGAGCATTCGACTGCAGATCGAGAGGTCCCCGGTTCAAACCCGGGTGCCCCCTTCTTCAGGAAAGTGAAGGGAAAATTTTTTTTTAAGGATTTCGACGGCGGGAACGATCTGTCCCGTTCTGTATATTTCTAGACAAAGCATTTTCAGATACGTTCCTACGGAACGCAAAGCAATGGTTCGCTGACACGGGGGTATAGCTCAGTGGTAGAGCATTCGACTGCAGATCGAGAGGTCCCCGGTTCAAACCCGGTGCCCCTTCTTCAGGAAAGTGAAGGAAAATTTTTTTTTAATGATTTCGACGGCGGGAACGATCTGTCCCGTTCTGTATATTTCTAGACAAAGCATTTTCAGATACGTTCCTACGGAACGCAAAGCAATGGTTCGCTGACACGGGGGTATAGCTCAGTGGTAGAGCATTCGACTGCAGATCGAGAGGTCCCCGGTTCAAACCCGGGTGCCCCCTTCTTCAGGAAAGTGAAGGAAAATTTTTTTTTAAGGATTTCGACGGCGGGAACGATCTGTCCCGTTCTGTATATTTCTAGACAAAGCATTTTCAGATACGTTCCTACGGAACGCAAAGCAATGGTTCGCTGACAGGGGGTAGCTCAGTGGTAGAGCATTCGACTGCAGATCGAGAGGTCCCCGGTTCAAACCCGGGTGCCCCTTCTTCAGGAAAGTGAAGGGAAATTTTTTTTTAAGGATTTCGACGGGGGAACGATCTGTCCCGTTCTGTATATTTCTAGACAAAGATTTTCAGATACCTTCCTACGGAACGCAAAGCAAAAGGTTTTGCTGACAAGGGGTATAGCTCGGGTAGAGCATTCGACTGCAGATCGAGAGGTCCCCGGTTCAAACTCCGGGGCCCCCTTTTTCAGGAAAGTGAAGGGGAAAATTTTTTGGATTTCGACGGCGGGAAAAGATCTGTCCCTGTTCTGTATATTTCTAGACAAAGCATTTTCAGATACCTTCCTACGGAACGCAAAGAAATGGTTCGCTGACAAGGGGGTATAGCTCAGTGGTAGAGCATTCGACTGCAGATCGAGAGGTCCCCGGTTCAAACCCGGGTGCCCCCTTCTTCAGGAAAGTGAAGGGAAATTTTTTTTTAAGGATTTCGACGGCGGGAACGATCTGTCCCGTTCTGTATATTTCTAGACAAAGCATTTTCAGATACGTTCCTACGGAACGCAAAGCAATGGTTCGCTGACAAGGGGGTATAGCTCAGTGGTAGAGCATTCGACTGCAGATCGAGAGGTCCCCGGTTCAAACCCGGGTGCCCCCTTCTTCAGGAAAGTGAAGGGAAAATTTTTTTTAAGGATTTCGACGGCGGGAACGATCTGTCCCGTTCTGTATATTTCTAGACAAAGCATTTTCAGATACGTTCCTACGGAACGCAAAGCAATGGTTCGCTGACAAGGGGGTATAGCTCAGTGGTAGAGCATTCGACTGCAGATCGAGAGGTCCCCGGTTCAAACCCGGGTGCCCCCTTCTTCAGGAAAGTGAAGGAAATTTTTTAAGGATTTCGACGGCGGGAACGATCTGTCCCGTTCTGTATATTTCTAGACAAAGCATTTTCAGATACGTTCCTACGGAACGCAAAGAATGGTTCGCTGACAAGGGGGGATAGCTCAGTGGTAGAGCATTCGACGCAGATCGAGAGGTCCCCCGGTTTAAACTCCCCCTCTTCAGGAAAGTGAAGGGAAAATTTTTTTTTAAGGATTTCGACGGCGGGAACGATCTGTCCCGTTCTGTATATTTCTAGACAAAGCATTTTCAGATACCTTCCTACGGAACGCAAAGAAATGGTTCGCTGACAAGGGGGTATAGCTCAGTGGTAGAGCATTCGACTGCAGATCGAGAGGTCCCCGGTTCAAACCTGCGCCCCCCTTTTTCAGGAAAGTGAAGGGAAATTTTTATGATTTCGGACGGGGAACGATCTGTCCCGTTCTGTATATTTGACAAAGCATTTTTTAGATACTTCACGGAACGCAAAGAAAAGTTTCGCTGACAAGGGGTATAGCCAGTGGTAGAGCATTCGACTGCAGATCGAGAGGCCCGGGTTTAAACCCGGGGGCCCCCCTTTTTCAGGAAAGTAAAGGGAAAAATTTTTAAGGATTTGACGGCGGGAACGATCTGTCCCCCTGTATATTTAGACAAAGATTTTCAGATACCTTCCTACGGAACGCAAAGCAATGGTTCGCTGACAAGGGGTATAGCTCAGTGGTAGAGCATTTCGATGAGAGGTCCCCGGTTCAAACCCGGGTCCCCTTCTTCAGGAAAGGAAGGAAAATTTTTTTGGTTTTGACGGCGGGAACGATCTGTCCCCTGTTAAATTTCTAGACAAAGATTTTTTTTGATACTTCCTACGGGAAAGCAAAAAAATGGTCGCTGACGGGGGGATAGCTCGGGGAGAGCATTGACTCAGATCGAGAGGTCCCCGGTTCAAAAACCCGGGGCCCCTTTTCAGGGAAAATGAAGGAAATTTTTAAGGGTTTCGGCGGGAACGATCGTCCCGTTCGTATATTTCTAGACAAAGCATTTTTGATACCTTCCACGGGGAAAGCAAAAAATTTCGCTGAAAGGGGTATAGCTCAGTGGTAGAGCATTCGACGCAGATCGGGGGTCCCCGGTTTAAACCTGCCCCCCTTCAGGAAAGTGAAGGAAATTTTTTTTGGGGTTTCGCGGCGGGAACGATTGTCCTGTTCTGTATATTTCAGACAAAATTTTTGATACTTCCTACGGGAAAGCAAAGCGGTTCGCTGGGCAAGGGGGTTCTCAGTGGTGGTTCGACTGAGATCGAGAGGTCCCCGGTTCAAACCGGGTGCCCCTTCAGGAAAGGAAGGGAAAATTTTTTTTAGATTTCGACGGCGGGAACGATCTGTCCTGTTCTGTATATTTCTGACAAAGATTTTTGATACCCCCACGGAACGCAAAAAATGGTTCGCTGAAAAGGGGATATAGTGGTAAATTCGACTGCAGATCGAGAGGTCCCCCGGGTTTAAACCCGGGTGCCCCTTCTTCAGGAAAGAAGGGGAAATTTTTTTGGGATTTGCGGGGGGAACATCGTCCCGTTCTGTATATTTCTAGACAAAGCATTTTTTAGATACTTCCTACGGAACGCAAAGCGGTTCGCTGACAAGGGGGGATAGCCCGGGTAGAGCATTGACTGCAGATCGGGGGTCCCCGGCAAAAATCGGGGGCCCCCCTTTTTCAGGAAAGTGAAGGAAATTTTTTTAAAGGGTTTCGACGGCGGGAACGATCGTCCGTTCTGTATATTTCTAGACAAAGATTTTCAGATACTTCCTAGGAAGAAAGAAGGGTTGTGACAAGGGGGGATACTCAGTGGTAAAACGACTGCAGATCGAGAGGTCCCCGGGGTTTAAACCCGGGGCCCCCTTCAGGAAAGTGAAGGGAAAAATTTTTTTTAAGGGTTTCGACGGCGGGAACGATCGTCCGTTTTGTATATTTTAGACAAAGTTTTTTTAGATACGTTCCCTTAACGCAAAGCAATGGTTCGCTGACGGGGGGATAGCCAGTGGTAGAGCATTCGACGCAGATCGAGAGGTCCCCCGGGTTTAAACCCGGGTGCCCCCCTTTTTCAGGGGGGAAAAATTTTTTTGGGTTTACGGGGGGAACGATTGTCCCGTTCTGTATATTTTAGACAAAGATTTTTGATATTCCTAGGAACGCAAAGCAATGGTTCGCGACAAGGGGGAACCCGTGGATTTGACTGCAGACGAGAGGTCCCCGGTTCAAACCCGGGGGCCCCCCTTTTTCAGGAAAGTGAAGGGAAATTTTTTTTTGATTTCGACGGCGGGAACGATCTGTCCGTTCTGTATATTTCTGACAAAGATTTTTGATACGTTCCTACGGAACGCAAAACAATGGTTCGTGACAAGGGGTATAGCCAGTGGGAACATTCGACTGCAGATCGAGAGGTCCCCGGTTCAAACCCGGGTGCCCCCTTCTTCAGGAAAGTGAAGGGAAAATTTTTTTTTAAGGATTTCGACGGCGGGAACGATCTGTCCCGTTCTGTATATTTCTAGACAAAGCATTTTCAGATACGTTCCTAAGGAACGCAAAGCAATGGTTCGCTGACAAGGGGTATAGCTCCGTGGTAGAGCATTGACTGCAGACGAGAGGTCCCCGGTTCAAACCCCGGGGGCCCCCCTTTTTCAGGAAATGAAGGGAAAATTTTTTAAGGATTTCGGGCGGCGGGGAAAGATCTGTCCCGGTTCTGTATATTTCTAGACAAAGCATTTTCAGATACGTTCCTACGGAACGCAAAGCAATGGTTCGCTGACAAGGGGGTATAGCTCAGTGGTAGAGCATTCGACTGCAGATCGAGAGGTCCCCGGTTCAAACCCGGGTGCCCCCTTTTTCAGGGAAGTGAAGGGGAAAAATTTTTTTTAAGGATTTCGACGGCGGGAAACATTTTGTCCCCGTTCTGTATATTTCTAGACAAAGATCAGAAACGTTCCTACGGAACGCAAGCAATGGTTCGTGACCGGGGTATAGCTCAGTGGGTAGAGCATTCGACTGCAGATCGAGAGGGCCCCGGTTCAAACCCGGGTGCCCCCTTCTTCAGGAAAGTGAAGGGAAATTTTTTTTTAAGGATTTCGACGGCGGGAACGATCTGTCCCGTTCTGTATATTTCTAGACAAAGATTTCAGATACGTTCCTACCGGGAAAGCAAAGCAATGGTTCGCTGACAGGGGTATAGCTCAGTGGTAGAGCATTCGACTGCAGATCGAGAGGGTCCCCGGTTCAAACCCGGGCCCCCCTTCTTCAGGAAAGTGAAAAGGGGAAAAATTTTTTTAAGGATTTCGACGGGGGAACGATCTGTCCCGTTCTGTATATTTCTAGAAAAGATTTTCAGATACGTCTCGGGAAAGCAAAGCAATGGTTCGCTGGGCACGGGGTATAGCTCAGTGGTAGAGCATTCCCAATGCAGATCGAATTTTCCCCCGGGTTCAAACCGGGTGCCCCTTCTTCAGGAAAGTGAAGGGAAAATTTTTTTTTAAGGATTTCGACGGCGGGAACGATCTGTCCCGTTCTGTATATTTCTAGACAAAGCATTTTCAGATACGTTCCTACGGAACGCAAAGCAATGTTCGCTGACACGGGGTATAGCCAGTGGTAGAGCATTCGACTGCAGATCGAGAGGTCCCCGGTTCAAACCCGGGCCCCTTCTTCAGGAAAGTGAAGGGAAATTTTTTTAAGGATTTCGACGGCGGGAACGATCTGTCCCGTTCTGTATATTTCTAGACAAAGCATTTTCAGATACGTTCCTACGGAACGCAAAGCAATGGGTTCGCTGACAAAGGGGGTATAGCTCAGTGGTAGAGCATTCGACTGCAGATCGAGAGGTCCCCGGTTCAAACCCGGTGCCCCCTTTTTCAGGAAAGTGAAGGGAAAATTTTTTAAGGATTTCGACGGCGGAACGATCGCCCGTTCTGTATATTCTAGACAAACATTTTCAGATACGTTCCTCGGAACGCAAGCAATGGTTCGCTGACAGGGGGTATAGCTCAGTGGTAGAGCATTCGACTGCAGATCGAGAGGTCCCCGGTTCAAAACCCGGGGGCCCCCCTTTTTCAGGAAAAATGAAGGGAAAATTTTTTAAGGATTTCGACGGCGAACGATCTGTCCCGTTCTGTATATTCTAGACAAAGCATTTTCAGATACGTTCCTACGGAACGCAAAAGCAATGGTTTGCTGACAAGGGGGTATAGCTCAGTGGTAGAGCATTCGACTGCAGATCGGGGAGGTCCCCGGTTCAAACCCGGTGCCCCTCTTCAGGAAAGTGAAGGGAAATTTTTTAAGGATTTCGACGGCGGGAACGATCTGTCCCTGTTCTGTATATTTCTAGACAAAGATTTTTGATACGTTCCACGGAACGCAAACAATTTCGCGACAAGGGGAATAGGGTAGAGCACGACCAGATCGAGGTCCCCGGGTTCAAACCCGGGTGCCCCCTTCTTCAGGAAAGTGAAGGGGAAAATTTTTTAAGGATTTTTACGGCGGGGAAAGATCGCCCGTTCTGTATATTTAAAAAACAGATACGTTCCTACGGAACGCAAAGCAATGGGTTTGCTGACAGGGGGGATAGCTCAGTGGTGACATTCGATCAGATCAGAGGTCCCCCCCTTCAAACCCGGGTGCCCCTTCTTCAGGAAAGTGAAGGGAAAAATTTTTTAAAAAATTTTTGACGGCGGGAACGATCTGTCCCGTTCTGTTTTTTCAGACAAAGCATTTTCAGATACGTTCCACGGAACGCAAAGCAATGGTTCGCTGACGGGGTTAAACCAGGGTAGAGCATTGACTGCAGCGAGGGTCCCCGGGTTTAAACCCGGGTGCCCCCCTTTTTCAGGAAATGAAGGGAAATTTTTAAGGATTTGACGGCGGGGAAAGATCTGTCCCGTTCTGTATATTTCTAGACAAAAATTTTTTAGATATTCCTACGGAACGCGCAATGGTTCGCTGAAAGGGGGGAAGCTCAGTGGTAGAGCATTCGACTGAGATCGAGAGGTCCCCCTTCAAACCCGGGTGCCCCTTCTTCAGGGAAAATGAAGGGAAAATTTTTTTAAAGGGTTTCGACGGCGGGAACGTTGTCCCGTTTTGTATATTTCTAGACAAAGTTTCAGATACGTTCCACGGAACCCAAAAATGGTTCCTGACAAAGGGGGGTAGCTCAGTGGTAGAGCATTCGACGCAGTCAGGGTCCCCGGTTCAAACCGGGGGCCCCTTCTTCAGGAAAAGTGAAGGGAAAATTTTTTTTTAAAGGGTTTCGACGGGGGAACGTCTGTCCCGTTCTGATATTTGACGATTTTCAGATACGTTCCGGAACGCAAAAAATGGGTTTGCTGACGGGGTATAGCTCGGGGGAAGCATTCGACTGCAGATGGGGGGCCCCGGTTCCCCGGGTGCCCCTTTTTCAGGAAAGTGAAGGGAAAAAATTTTTTTTGATTTCGACGGCGGGGAAAGATCTGTCCGCCCCGTATATTTTAGACAAAACTTTTTAAAAACGTTCCTAAGGAACGCAAAGCAATGGGTTTCCTGACAAGGGGTATAGCTCAGTGGTAAGCATCGACTCAGATCGAGGGTCCCCCGGGTTTAAACCCGGGGCCCCTTCTTCAGGGAAAATGAAGGGGAAATTTTTTTTAAAAAAATTTTGGGGCGGCGGGAACGATCTGTCCCGTTCTGTATATTTCTAGACAAAGCATTTTCAGATACCTTCCTCGGGAAAGCAAAGCAATGGGTTTGCTGACAAGGGGGGATAGCTAGTGGTAGAGCATTCGACTGCAGATCGAGGGTCCCCGGGTTTAAACCCCGGGTGCCCCTTCTTCGGGGAAAATGAAGGAAATTTTTTAAGGGTTTCGACGGCGGAACGATCTGTCCCGTTCTGTATATTTCAGAAAAGATTTTCAGATACGTTCCTACGGAACGCAAACAATGGGTTTGCTGACAAGGGGGGATAGCCGGGTAGAGCATTCGACTGCAGATCGAGAGGTCCCCGGTTCAAACCCGGGGGCCCCCTTCGGAAAATGAAGGGAAATTTTTTTTTGGGTTTCGCGGCGGGAACGATCTGTCCCGTTCGATATTTCTAGACAAAATTTTTAGATACGTTCCCACGGGAAAGCAAAGCAATGGGTTTGCTGACAAGGTTAGCCAGGGGGAGCATTCGACTGCAGACGAGAGGTCCCCGGTTCAAACCCGGGGCCCCTTCTTCAGGAAAGTAAGGGAAATTTTTTAAGATTTCGACGGCGGGAACGTCTGTCCCGTTCTGTATTTTTGCGCATTTTTAGATACGTTTCCCACGGAACGCAAAACAATGGGTTTGCCGGGGAAGCCAGGGTGAACCGACTAGATCGGGGGTCCCCCGGCAAACCCGGTGCCCTCTTCAGGAAAGTGAAGGGAAATTTTTTTGGATTTCGACGGCGGGAACGATTGCCCGCTGATATTTCTGACAAACATTTTCAGATAACCCCGGAACGCAAAGCAATGGTTCCGGGCAAGGGGGTTGGGAGGCATTCACTGCAGACGAGAGGCCCCGGTTTAACCCCCGGCCCCCTTTTTCAGGAAAATGAAGGGAAATTTTTTTTAAGGGTTTCGAGGCGAACGATCTGTCCCGTTCTGTATATTCTAGACAAAGCACGATCGTTCCTACGGAACGCGCAATATTCGCTGAAAGGGGGTATAGCTCGGTAGAGCATTCGACTGCAGATCGAGAGGGCCCCGGTTCAAAACCCTGCCCCCCTTTTTCGGAAAGTGAAGGGAAATTTTTTTAAGGTTTCGACGGCGGGAACGTCTGTCCCCCTGTATATTTTGACAAAGATTTTTTTAGATAGTTTTACGGAACGCAAAAATGGTTTGTTTACAAGGGGGGATAAAACCTGGAGAGCATTCCGGATCGAGAGGTCCCCGGGTTCAAACCCCGGGGGCCCCCCTTTTTCAGGAAAGTGAAAAGGAAAAAATTTTTTTAAAGGGTTTCGACGGCGGAACGATCTGTCCGTTCTGTAAAATTTAGACAAAAATTTTTTTGATACGCCTACGGAACGCAAAACAATGGTTTGTTGACAAGGGGGGATAGCCGTGGTAGAGCATTCGACTGAGATCGAGAGGTCCCCGGTTCAAACCGGGGGCCCCCTTTTTCAGGAAAGGAAAGGGAAAATTTTTAAAGGGTTTGGGGGAACGATCTGTCCGTTCTGTATATTTCTAGACAAAGATTTTCAGATCGTCTTGGAACGCAAAACAATGGTTTGCGACAAGGGGGATAGCCGGGTAAGCATTCGACGCAGATCGAGAGGTCCCCGGTTCAAACCGGGTGCCCCTTTTCGGAAAGTGAAGGGAAAATTTTTTTTAAAGGGTTTCGACGGGGGAACGTCTGTCCTTCCCTTTTTTTTGACAAAACATTTTCAGAAAGCCTGGAACGCAAAGCAATGGTTCGTGACAAGGGGTATAGCTCGGGTGAGCATCGACTGCAGATCGAGGGTCCCCGGTTCCCCGGGGGCCCCCCTTCTTAGGAAAAATAAGGAAATTTTTTTTTTTGATTTACGGCGGGCATCGTCCCGCTGTATATTTCAGACAAAAATTTTCAGATACCTTCCTACGGAACGCAAAACAATGGGTTTGCTGACAAGGGGATGCCTGGTAGAGCATTGACTCAGATCGGGTCCCCCGGGTTTAAACCCGGGGGCCCCTTTTTCAGGAAAGTGAAGGAAATTTTTTAAGGTTTCGACGGCGGGGATCTGTCCCGTTCTGTATATTTCTAGACAAAGATTTCAGATACGTTCCCACGGAACGCAAAGCAATGGTTCGTGCAAGGGGTATAGCTCAGTGGTAGAGCATTCGACTGCAGATCGAGAGGTCCCCGGTTCAAACCCGGGGGCCCCTTCTTCCCGGAAAGGGGAATTTTTTTTGGATTTCCCGGGGGGAAACGTCGCCCGTTCTGTATATTTTTAGACAAAGACAGATACGTTCCTACGGAACGCAAAGCAATTTCGTGGGGGTAAGAGTGGGAGAGCATTCGACTGCAAGAGAGGTCCCCGGTTCAAACCCGGTGCCCCCCTTTTTCGGAAAGTGAAGGGAAAATTTTTTTAAGTTTCGACGGCGGGGGATCTGTCCGTTCTGTATATTTCTAGACAAAAAATTTTTTAGATGTTCCTACGGAACCAAACAACGCTGACAAGGGGGGATAGCCGGGGTAGAGCATTCGACTGCAATCGAGAGGGCCCCGGGTTCAAACCCGGGTGCCCCTTCTTCAGGAAAGTGAAGGGAAAATTTTTTTAAAGGGTTTCGACGGCAACGTCTGTCCCGTTCTGTATATTTTTAGACAAAGATTTTAGATACGTTCCTAAGGAACGCAAAGCAATGGGTTTGCGACGGGGGGGATAGCTCAGTGGTAGAGCATTTGACTGCAGATCGAGGGTCCCGGTTCAAACCGGGGGCCCCCTTTTTCCCAGGAAAGGAAGGGAAATTTTTTAAGGATTTCGACGGCGGGGAAAGTCTGTCCCGTTCTGTATATTTCTAGACAAAGAAGATAGTTTCCAGGAACCAAACAATGGTTGTTTTAAGGGGGAAACTCAGTGGGAGAGCATTCGACTTTAGATCGAGAGGTCCCCGGTTCAAAACCCGGTGCCCCCCTTCAAAGTGAAGGGAAAAATTTTTTGGGTTTCGAGGCGGAACGATCTTCCCGTTCTGTATATTTCTAGACAAAGATTTTTTTGATACGCCTACGGAACGCAAAGCAATGGGTTTGCTGACGGAAACTCAGTGGTAGAGCATCGACTCGATCGGGGGTCCCCGGTTCCCCGGGGGCCCCCTTCGGGGAAGGGAAATTTTTTTAAGGGTTTCGACGGCGGGAAAAAATCGTCCCGTTCTGTATTTTAGACAAAGCATTTTTTTTGATACGTTCCTACGGAAGCAAAGTGGTTCGGGGAAAGGGGGGAACCGGGTAGAGCATTCGACACAGATCGAAGGTCCCCGGTTAAAACCCGGGTGCCCCCCTTTTTCAGGAAAGTGAAGGGAAAATTTTTTTGGATTTCGACGGCGGGGCGATCGTCCCGTTCTGTATATTTTCAAAGATTTTTTTGATAGTTTCCCACGGAACGCAAACAATGGGTTTGCGACACGGGGTATAGCTAGTGGTAGAGCATCCCATGCAGATCGAGGGGGCCCCGGTTCAAACCCGGGCCCCCCTTCCCCGGAAAGTGAAGGGAAAATTTTTTAAGGATTTCGACGGCGAGAACGATCTGTCCCGTTCTGTATATTTCTAGACAAAGCATTTTCAGATACGTTCCTAAGAAACGCAAAGCAATGGCTCGCTGACACGGGGTATAGCTCAGTGGTAGAGCATCTGACTGCAGATCGAGAGGTCCCGGTTCAAACCCGGGTGCCCCCTTCTTCAGGAAAGTGAAGGAAAATTTTTTTAAGGGATTTCGACGGCGGGAACGACCGTCCTGTTCTGTATATTTCTGCATGCTTATTTCAGATACGTTCTACGGAACGTAAAGCAATGGTTCGCTGACACGGGGGTATAGCTCATTGGTAGAGCATTCGACTGCAGATCGAGAGGTCCCCGGTTCAAACCCGGGTGCCCCCTTCTTCAGAAAGTTAGGGGAAAATTTTTTTTAAGGATTTTGACGGCGGGAATGCTCTGTCCCATTCTGTATATTTCTAGACAAAGCATTTTCAGATACGTTCCTACGGAACGCAAAGCAATGGTTCGCTGACACGGGGGTATAGTCACAGTGGTAGAGCATTCCGACTGCAGATCAAGAGGTCCCCGGTTCAAACCCGCGCCCCCCTTCTTCAGGAAAGTGAAGGGTAAATTTTTTTAAGGATTTTCGACGGCGGAACGACCTGTCCTGTTCTGTATATTTCTAGACAAAGATAGATACGTTCACGGAACGCAAAGCAATGATTCGCTGACACGGGTATAGCTCAGTGGTAGAGCATTCGACTGCAGATCGAGAGGTCCCCGGTTCAAACCCGGGTGCCCCCTTCTTCAGGAAAGTGAAGGGAAAATTTTTTTTTAAGGATTTCGACGACGGGAACGATCTGTCCCGTTCTGTATATTTCTAGACAAAGCATTTTCAGATACGTTCCTACGGAACGCAAAGCAATGGTTCGCTAAAACGGGGGTATAGCTCAGTGGTAGAGCATTCGACTGCAGATCGAGAGGTCCCCGGTTCAAACCCGGGTGCCCCCTTCTTCAGGAGGAAAGTGTTAGAAAATTTTTTTGCGATTTCAACGGCGGGAACGATCTGTCCTGCCCTGTATATTTCTAGACAAAGCATTTTTCAAATACGCCCTACGGGAAATGCGCACCGTCGCTGACACGGGGGTATAGCCTGTGGTAGAGCATTCGACTGCAGAACGAGAGGTCCCTTGTTCAAACCCGATTGCCCCCTTCTTTCAGGAAAGTGAAGGGAAAATTTTTTAAGGATTTCTGGACGGCGGAATCGACCTATCCCGCCTTGTATATTTCTAGACAAAGATGCCAGATACGTTCCTACGGAACGCAAAGCAATGGCTCGCTGACACGGGGGTATAGCTCAGTGGTAAAGCATTCGACTGCAGATCGAGAGATTCTCGACCAAACCCGCGCCGCCTTCTTCTGCGTGCCGAAGGGAAAAATTTTTTAAGGATTTCCTGACGGTGGGAATGATCTGTCCCGTTCTGTATATTTCTAGACAAAGCATTTTCAGATATAAAGTTCCTACGGAACGCAAAGCAATGGTTCGCTGACGCGGGGTATACCAGTGGTAGAGCATTCGACTGCAGATCGAGAGATCCTCGGTAATAAATTGCGCCCCTTCTTCAGGAAAAGAAGGGAAAAAATTTTTAAGGATTTCTCTGACGGCGGGAACGATCTGTCCCGTTCTGTATATTTCTAGACAAAGCATTTTCAGATATATTCCTACGGAACGCAAAGCAATGGTTCGCTGGACACGGGGTATAGCTCAGTAGTAGAGCATTCGACTGCAGATCGAGAGGTCCCTAATTCAACTGGTGCCCTTCTTCAGGAAGTTATGTAAAAATTTTTTTTAAGCATTTAGGACGGCAGGAACGATCTGTCCCGTTCTGTATATTTCTAGACAAAGCATTTTTCAGATATGTTCCCGGAACTCAAAGCAATGGTTCACTGACACGGGGTATAGCTCAGTGGTAGAGCCTTTCTGACTGCAGATCGAGAGGTCCCCTGGTTCAACCCGGGTGCCCCTTCTAAGGAAAGTGAAGGAAATTTTTTAAGGATTTCGACGGTGGGAACGATCTGTCCTGTTCTGTATATTTGTGACAAAGTATTTTTGTGATACGTTCCTACGGAACGCAAAGCAATGGTTCGCTGACACGGGGAATAGCTCAGTGGTAGAGCATCTGACTGCAGATCGAGAGGTCCCGGTGCAAAACCCGGGTGCCCCTTCTTCAGGAAAGTGAAGGGAAAAAATTTTTAAGGATTTCGACGGCGGGAACGATCTGTCCTGTTCTGTATATTTCCCTTTAGACAAAGCATTTTTCAGATACGTTCCTACGGAACGCAAAGCAATGGTTCGTTGACACGGGGGTATATAGTGGTAGAGCATTCGACTGCAGATCGAGATTCTCGGTTCAAACCTGGTGCCCCATTCTTCAGGAAAGTGAAGGGAAAAATTTTTTTTAAGGATTTCGACAGCGGGTACGATCTGTCCCGTTCTGTATACTTCTAGACAAAGCATTTTTCAGATACGTTCCTACGGAACGCAAAGCAATATTTCGTTGACACGGGGGTATAGCTCAGTGGTAGAGCATTCGACTGCAGACGAGAGGTCCCCGGTTCTATCCGGGTGCCCCCTCTTCAGGAAAGTGAAGGGAAAATTTTTCTTAAGGATTTTCGACGGCGGGGAACGAGATCTGTCCCGTTCTGCATATTTCTTGACAAAGCATTTTAGTTGCTGTTCCTACGTGCAAAGGTGGTTCGCTGACACGGGGTATAGCTCAGTGGTAGAGCATTCGATCAGATCGAGAGGTCCCTGTTCAAACCTTCCGGGTGCCCCTTCTTCAGGAAAGTGAAGGGAAAATTTTTTTAACGATTTTCGACGGCGGGAACGATCTGTCCTGTTCCTGTATATTTCTAGACAAAGCATTTTTCAGATACGTTCCTACGGAACGCAAAGCAATGCTCGCTGAGGCAGGGTATAGCTCATTGGTAGAGCATTCGACTGCAGATCGAGAGAGGTCCCCGGTTCAAACCCGGTGCCCCTTCTTCAGGAAAGTGAAGGGAAATTTTTTTAAGGATTTCGACGGTGGGAACGATCTGTCCCGTTCTGTATATTTCTAGACAAAGCATTTTCAGATATTCCTACGGAACGCTACCGGTTCGCTGGACACGGGGTATAGCTCAGTGGTAGAGCATTCGACTGCAGATCGAGAGGTACCCGGTTCAAACCCGGGTGCCCCCTTCTTCAGTGAAGGGAAATTTTTTTTAAGGATTTCGACGGCAGGAACGATCTAACCTGTTCTGTATATTTCTTAGACAAAGCATTTTCAGGATATGTTCCTACGGAACTCAAAGCAATGGTTCGCTGACACGGGGTATAGCTCAGTGGTAGAGCATTCGACTGCAGATCGAGAGGTCCCTGGTTCAAACCTGCGCCCCTTCTTCAGGAAAGTGAAGGGAAATTTTTTTGCTGATTTCTGACGGTGGGAAACGATCTGTCCTGTTCCTGTATATTTCTAGACAAAGTTATTTCAGATACGTCTTGGGCCGGAACGCAAAGCAATGGTTCGCTGGACACGGGGAATAGCTCAGCGGTAGAGCATTCGACTGCAGATCGAGAGGTCCCCGGTGCAAACTCCGGGTGCCCCCTTCTTCAGGAAAGGAAGGAAAAATTTTTTTTAAGGATTTTCAATGGCGGGAACGATCTGTCCCGTTCTGTATATTTTCAGACAGCATTTTCAGATACTGTTCCTACGGGGAACGCAAAAGCAAGGGTTCTCTGGACACGGGGGTATAGCTCAGTGGTAGAGCATTCGACTGCAGATCGAGAGATTCTCGGTTCAAACCTGGTGCCCCCTTCTTCAGGAAAGTGAAGGGAAAAATTTTTTTTAAGGATTTCGACGGCGGGTCCGATCTGTCCCGTTCTGTATATATTTCTAGACAAACATTTCAGATACGCTCCTGGCGAACGCAAAGCAATGGTTCGCTGACACGGGGGTATAGCTCAGCGGTAGAGCATCTGACTGCAGATCGAGAGGTCCCCGGTTCAAACCTGGGTGCCCCTTCTTCAGGAAAGTGAAGGGAAAAATTTTTTACATTTCGACGGCGGGAACGATCTTGTCCCGTTTTGCATATTTCAGACAAAGCATTTTCAGATACGTTCGTACGGAACGCAAAAGCAAAGGTTCGCTGGACACGGGAGTATAGCTCAGTGGTAGGAGCATTCGACTGCAGATCGAGAGGTCCCCGGTTCAAAACTCCGGGTGCCCCCTTCTTCAGGAAAGTGAAGGGAAAATTTTTTTTTAAGGATTTCGACGGCGGGAACGATCTGTCCTGTTCTGTATATTTCTAGACAAAGTTATTTTTTTCAGATACGTTCACGGAACGCAAAGCAATGGTTCGCTGACACGGGGGTTTAGCTCAGTGGTGGAGCATTCGACTGCAGATCGAGAGGTCCCCGGTTCAAACCCGGGTGCCCCCTTCTTCAGAAGTGAAGGGAAAAAATTTTTTAAGGATTTCCGGACGGTGGAAACGATCTGTTCTGTATATTTCTAGACAAAGATTTTTCAGATATTGCCCCTACGGAACGCAAAGCAATGGTTCGCTGACACGGGGGTATAGCCTGCGGTAGAGCATCTGACTGCAGATCGAGAGGTCCCCGGTTCAAACCCGGGTGCCCCCTTTCTTTCTTCAGGAAAGTGAAGGGAAAATTTTTTTTTTAAGGATTTCGATGGCGGGAACGATCTGTCCCGTTCTGTATATTTCTAGACAAAGCATTTTCAGATACGCGTTCCTACGGAACACAAAGCAAATGGTTCGCTGACATGTGGGGTATAGCCTCTAGCGGGTAGGAGCGATTCGACTGTAGACGAGAGTGTCCCGGTTCAAACCTCGTGTGCCCCTTCAGGAAAGTAAAGGGAAAAAATTTTTTTGGCGATTTCGACGGCGGAATCGATCTGGTTCCTGCTCTTTATATTTCTAGACAAAGTATTTTCAGATACGTTCCGCCGGAACGCAAAGCAATGGTTCGCTGACACGGGGCTATTGCTCAGTGGTAGAGCATCTGGACGCGATTGAGAGGTCCCCGGTTCAAAACTCCGGGTGCGCCTTTCTTCAGGAAAGTGAAGGAAAATTTTGTTTTAAGGATTTCGACGGCGGGAACGATCTGTCCCGTTCTGTATATTTCTAGACAAAGCATTTTCAGATACGTTCCTACGGAACGCAAAGCAATGGTTAGCTGACCCGGGGGTATAGCTCAGTGGTAGAGCATTCGACTACAGATTGAGAGGTCCCCGGTTCACACCCGGGTACCCCTTCATCAAGAAAGTGGAGGGAAAATTTTTTTTAAGGATTTCGACGGTGGGAACGATCTGTCCCGTTCTGTATATTTCTAGACAAAGCATTTTCAGATACGTTCCTACGGAACGCAAAGCAATGGTTCGCTGACACGGGGGTATAGCTCAGTGGTATAGCATTCCACTGCAGATCGGGAGGTCCTTTTTTTACGAGCCCCTGTCCTGCTTTATTGGGGAATATTATAGATATTTTTTTCAAGGATTTTGAAGAATTTAATATAGAAATAAAGTTTGATAGAAATATTTTCTTCAGTCACTTTTCTTTATATATTTTAGGCGGAGTTCTCATAATATTTGCAATGTTTTTGCATTTTTTTTTTGTACTTATAATTGTAATTTATTATTCTTTTTTTTTATTGGTTTTAAGTAATGTCGTAAGAATAATTAGGTCACATCAGAGATCTAACAAGGAAATTAGTAGATCTTGGTATATAAAGATTTTTGAGAATTCTCATTTTGTACTAATAAAAAAAAGGGCCAAATTTCTGCTTTAATATCGCTATTCTAATAATTTTCTACTATATATGTAGAAATACTGTCTCACCCTGATTTTACAAATTCATAAGGACTGAACATTTCATTCGTTGATTCGGTGTCATACATACTATCGGGGCCTGAAAAAACATACATTGTTTTGCACTTACCTGTAGGATTTTCTAATATGCATTCGCACATAAAAGATGCATAATTAGTAATAACACACTTTTTATTCACCTGCTAAAAATACTCTCACCATTGGACAAAACCAAGAAATCAATTTAGAGATAAAGAAAGAAAGAAAGAAATTTATGAAAATTTACGCAATAGGTTTTACACATGACTCACCTGTAGTTAAATATTTTTATTGAGCTGCACCTTCTCTCTGGAAATTTCCTGCTTTGAAGAAGTCTTTTTCTACTCTGGCCAAATAGGATACGTGATTTGAAAGGAATTTCAATTTTTTCTAATCCACAGTAATAAAAATAAAATTTCGAATAGTTAATTAGGGTTTTTTTATTCGTCGATTAGGGTTTGTTTACTCTAAATTTTAACCGGGAGAAAAGGAACATTCGTTAAATAGGGGTTCTATAAATTGGGGCCCGAATGTATATATAATGCATCTATATAAATTATGCACATAAAAATTAATATACTTATATGTATACTTTTCATACGCACATATGTGCACACTCACGTACTTATATAGATATATTAACACATGTATTTATGAGTTTGTAGAAAGAATGTATATATTCAATGAAGCTGAATTTAAGTACGGAAAATACAATAATAACTGTTTAAACGTGGCGATAAATGAATTATTGAATAATTTAATTTTAAAACGAAAAACTTTTTTAAAAAAATTAAAAATGCTGGTTATTAAATTTCAAAGACATTTCAGCAAAAAAAAAATTCTTAATACTACAGTATAAATAGAATATTAACATTTATATATATTTCTTTTAAATATATCTGTTATTTTAATTTTTTGCAGACTTTGCCCTTTGGGTAATAATGTAAAACAAACTATTATGGAAATATATTATATTATTCCTTGTTTACTTTTCAAATCTGAATTTTTATGAAAAGATACTATTTTTGGTATTGATATTACCTTTATTTTTATGAAGATTACTGAAATAAAAAATAATATCATATAACATTTTTATAAAAACACTTGTTTCAAGATTTTCACTGAAAAAGATTCAGCATTGAATGATTGCGTGTTCATAAAAACTTCGCAGCGCCATCTACAGATGGTAATTTAAACTTTTTTTTGTGATACGAACTGAAATTATTTTTATTTTATTTTAACGGTATTAGTAATATACTGAAGAAAAAAAACTCTCTGTAAATTATTTTTTTATAAATGTAAGATTTATGAGCGCGTAAATATCTTTGTCTTTTTGAATATTTATATATATATTTTTGAAATTCAAAAATATTTTCGTGTATTTACATCTATTTTATAAGAATTTTCCAAATAATAAAAATACATTTAAAATTATTCCCGTAAAATCCACCGCATAACCCGCACCAATAATTTTGAGCTGTAATTTTTAATTTTTTGGAATATCCACCGTATAACTCGCACCCCCTTTTTCACGAAGAAACCCGAAATGTATGTATGCAAAGCTCTTTTATTTTGAAGTAATTTTGTTCGAGATATTTTATCAGGCTTTGGGGAGAAAAAATAATTTATTTCTAGAACAACAGCCTTTTAAGTTCATAAGAAATGCCCTTTCTTTTAAAGAAACAGTTCTTCTCGATTTATGTAGAAGTTAATTTTTTTCTATACTTTTTTAAAGCTATTTTATACCCGGTGTATAACGTGAACCTGTAATTTTCGCGCTTACTTTTTGCGGTAAAGTGCATGTTATACGCCGGATTTTAAGGTATATAGTTTTGTATATTATTAGAGAAATTTTCTTACTTGTTATTGGATGAAAATTTTTGGCGAAAAAAAAGCATATAATTAATGCAATTAACGGTTCGGTATCATTATGATAAGGAACTAATTTTTCAAACCAGTTTTGACGAGTCCTTTAAATGCTGTAATTTATTTCATATCCTTTGAAGATATCATAATAATCAAAAAAATAGTCAACCTCCCAATCATTTTGAAACGATAGATTTTCTTCGAATATTTTTCGCTTGCAAGATATGGAAGATAGTTAAAAATTAGTTCCAGCCATAAAATTGTCCACTGACTCCACTGTTGTCTGTTATCGCTAACCGTATATAACCGTTCCAAATAGAAGAAGAATATCAATTCGTACCCGTACGAGACCGCAAACAAAATTGATATATCTGATTTCTTGACAAAGAATTTCCCCCCAAATTTTTCATACTATGTTCTTACATAAGTAAATTTCTCTGCGCAAGGGCCATGACCGGGCCATTTAATAAGGCTCGGTGAACCGCATGCGGCCCGCGGGTCGCAGGTTAAGTATCACTGGCTTAGGAAATAATAAATCCCGATTAGTACGGTGCATGAAAACAATTAATGATCTTGTATGTCTTGGAATCACCAATAAATCCCTCAAATATCCAGTTATAAATATACCAACATAATGTGTTTAATGTTTTAGAAAAACGTAAATTGAGACGCGTTTCAAAATAGAGTATTAGGATTTATGAAGTAGATGTTAATAATGAAGGAGTTTCAAATTATGAGTAGATATCAACTTCAGTTATAACTTTATATATAATAAAATGTAACAAAAAATTTATTAACTTAAAAAAAAATTAAGGTATCCGACTACGTTTTGGAACCATGATGGGTAAAAGCTGGCAAATGGATAATATTTATGATATTTAGTATCACTTAGATTAGAAAAATGTATATAAAATTGTTTCACAACAGTATTACAATAAAAATTATTTAAGTACAATATTATGACAAAAAATGAACATAGAAATGAACCCTGCCTTCAAAAATATTCTCCCTTTTGTGAAAAAATGCTTCTATTATAATAATAGTTTGCCTCTATATAGCTCAGACCTCTGTACAGAGGCTCAACTGGAATTTTTGAAATATATAATTTAGAAGTGGGTTTATCCATGTTTTAAGACAACAGAGGGGAGAAATTTTAAGAAAAAAAAAACGCCGATAATTATTTCAATTGGAGGTAATTCCGAAAATAATGCGACTTTTTCAAAACTCTTAGTTGCAACTCGAGAAGTCTTTTACTTTTATATACAAAAATATTATTATTTTAGAAGCATTT